TCTTGCATGAAAACACTGATTAAACTATAATAATAAAGTGTATTATACGTACTTACTTCAGTAGTTTTAGCTACACATCAAGAGGGTTAAACGATCTTCCAATGGGCTTTATTTTAATGAAGTTAAATTAGACGGGATACATTTTTAACAGCAGCAGACACTAGAAAAGTACATGTAGTCATTATACACATTCAAGCAGCACATCTCCTTTTTGTCACTTTGATCAATGGTCTGTGCCTCCAAATTTAGGTTTCACTATCTCGACTAAATCTAGTCCTCCTGACACCAGAGGTCATTGATCAGCACTGTTAGCCTATTCTCAGGATCCACCATGATCATTTCTCAAAGGGCGAGTACATTAAACTAGAATAGAACATGTGGCTTGTGACACAATTCCTGCAAAATTGGATACATTATTTAAAAATATATTCATATAAATCACATTAATAATAAATCAAGACATTCTCAGAGGAGGGAAAAGTTCCTGAAATATCCAAGTCTCATAGCTGATCTATAACTCCATGAGCTGTGTGAAGAAAGACTGTATCACATACAGAACTTGGCCCCATGTCCAAATAAATCAACGAATCACTGAATGAATGAACACAATAATTTGGTTCGTATCTACATGAATATAAACATCCAGGAGCAACTAAGCTTCCAGTTAGCTGCTACATTCAGCTCAGGTGTGAGGAATGTAATGTGGAATTTAAAATTGGATATTTGAATTAGTTGAGATGTTTATACAACAGAGAAACAGTGAAAATCAGCTAGAGAGATCTGTGAAAATGAACTATCTGCACAAGCCAGTAGAGTAACTTCTTTTTACGACCAGTAATTATGTGGGATTTCATTACAAAAATATTAAAACAACTACATACATACATAAACTGTCTTGCATCATTATTAAGTACATCTTTTGTCTTCTTGACTGACAAAAAGCAGCGACTCTGGCACCATCGAGATGTTTAACATTTGTGTAAATCTGAGACCTATGGGATTCCAGATGGTACAATGACAGCCAAGCTGCAGCACGCTGTTTATATTATGTAATGTGAGTAGCTAATACTTGCCTAACCAATTACACTGCCAATTAAAATACATTACAATGAATTTATGTCCTTCCTTTACAAAAGAAGACTAGCAAATGAAAATTGACTACACTATTGTAAAAGGACTGAGGGTCTAAGCGTTAAATAAATGATGGTGCTTCCTCTAAGTTCATATTGATGTACAACATGTCATGCGTTCACGTGCTCCCAACTAGAGAAAATGAAATGGACACTGAATTTCAATTGTATTTTTTCAGTTTGTGTTTCAGAAACATTGTATAAAAGTTTTACTTGTTGGCATTGGGTATATGTGTGTGCTCAGATGTGTCTGTGTGCAACAGAGAGACAACAACAAAGTGCCACGCAGCTATTCCAACTTTCTGACTCGTAATTACCACCATTCGATCGTGAGCACTCGTCTCATAATTACAATATTTCAGACGGCACTTAAAAGCACCATGAGAGTGACTTTCCATCTGACTCGTTCTACCTCTAACCTACAAACATACAACCAAATACATAACGTGGATAAACTGAATAATGAATAAATACAAATAAATCAATTTAGATTATAGATGAAAATAATGTTTACTGTGTTCACCATCTTAGTTTAACAAGCTAACATTTGCTAATGATCACTAAACACAGTACAGGTACAGTACAGCTGGGGCTGATAGGAATGTCAGTTTTGCAGATATTTAGCCATAAACCAATGTATTGGACACAAATGTTGAACTGATAATGGCCCTTTATGAAAAAGTGAGAGAATCACCAAAGTCTCCAACGCAACAGACCTTTAATATCTAGCAAATATCACGGTAATCCACCCAATAGTTTAGAACAAAGTGGATGACACTGAACCACGCTGCTAGAGTGGCTAATAATATGGCGTGGAGAGGGGCCTCTTTCAATACCTCCGATACACAACACTTTGGCCGATACCACATCTACATTGTGAACAGCATGTTGGATTATGTGGTGTCTCAAAGTTCCAAAAGATCGCCTGAACACAAAGTGAACAAACTCTAAAACACATTGCCTCAAAGAAACATGCTCACTGTGAGTCTGAAAAAGGACTCGGAAGCTGCCACCGCTCGTCATCCTCCCATTGTGAGTACAGTGTCATTTACAATGAACACAATTTCTCTCTTCCACCCAGATAGCTAATAGCAGTCATTCATCAGAACCCCACAAAACGACAAGTTTCATCAATTATGCTCAGACTGGGAAGGCAGAGCCACAGAGATGGAGGCTCAGTCTCTGAGACACGAGCACTGTCAGAACAGAAGAGAACGGGGCAGCGGATGCCCCGCAGACGGGAAAATGAGCTGAAAACCAGAAAAAGAGGAAACGATTTCACACCCATCTATGAACAATGCACTGAAAGCTCCATGTTTGGGCTGCTAATGACATGCACAGACTGGGAGGGGGTGGGGAGGTGTTCCTCCAACACAACCTGCCACATCTCACAGCCTAGACAACTGCATAACAGAGAGAGATTTACTCTTATAATGAAATCCTTTGCTTGCTAGTTGCTTAGCAACAAAAACACTGATTCATATGGCACATACCGTATGCGCCTGACGCTGCATTTCTGACACTTTGGAAGAAGGTTGATTCTTGGATGAGAAAGAGAAGGGTGAGAAGAGACAGGGCAAGAGTTACAAAATGAATGCCAGGAGAGCAAAGAGTCAGAGAGGGGATGATTGAAAGTGAAAGGATGACCCCGTCTCTGGCTGACTCCCACAGAGTAGCACAACAGGTTGGTGGAGCTCACCAGCTTCACTTGGCAAAATGTGAACAAAAACACAAAATCTGACTGCTCTCTTGTATTCACACAGTGTTCGACTGCGGAAAGCAAGAACCTCACCCTGATCTTCACAGATGTATGTTCTGTTCCATTTCTGCACATCTATAAATAAAAATTTGAATGTATGCTGGTGGATTATACTAAATATTTCAACTAGAACTGAAATGCTAAAAGCCAACTGACGGGTCGTTGGTTTATGACATTTATCAGCATTTTCGGGCATTTTAAAGACTAAAAGATGAACAAAACAACCAAAAATATATCAGCGGATTAAACTCTGATGAACTTCATCGTTAGTTGCAGCCCTAATTGTAACCAAAGCACGGAAATGATACAGACGTCTCCCTTCAAAAGGTCAGCACCACCCTACATGCAGCCTTTGCATTTCCTCCTCCAACTCCCTGCCTGTCTGTGAGATGAATGCACAAGCATTAGCTAAAAAAAATAAACTGCTCCATCTCTAGCACCTGTATCAGCTAGACCATATTTATCCTTGAGCATGAGGGGAAGGCTACAAAGTTTAAGATACAAATCTGAAACGGAGCCCGATACAACAGAAAAACGGCATGACAGTTTTTTCTCCTAATGCAAGACTGAGGCCGGTCCTAAGCAGATGATGTCGTAACAATGGTGAAGCAGAAAATCTAGTGGCAATATGCCTTAAATGTTATGAAATTATTTCTGGGGATTACACTGTGGCATGAGTGTTAAACTCCACACAGACGCTACAGACACACACCACCGGCATGAGAATGTCTGTTGGACATGCAACAATGTATGACCAGTGTAGCAGCAGCTGACGCGCTGTGTGTCCTGAACGGCCCAAACTATTCCTGACTTTTGGAAACGTGTCAAACAAATGGTGCTGCACGGTTCACTGGAGGGTTTCAAGCTGCAAATAATAATAATGAACTCAGACTATGTTGATAACAACATAAATTATGGGAAATGATAGGGATGACATTTTGCCAATCCTTTTGTTATACATTGACTTGTTTTATATGTTTTCTTCATTGCCCACACCTTTTTCTTCAACTTGTTTATATTTTACATTGTTTGCTACAAAGCACTTTGGTACTTTGTACTGAAATGTGCTATACAAATAAAGCTTGTTATAAAATTACATTTAACATTTGTCTTAATGCAAGAATCTGACTTGATCAACCTTCCAATCTTAAGTCCTTAATAATTTCTGCTTCAGTCTTAAAATATTAAGGGAGGGTCAGCAAATTACAAAAGAAATGTGTCTCCAGCCCATTAAAATGGGTGGTGAATTGAATTGTGTTTTTGATGGTCCCACCACTGAATAATTACATTTAAAAAGATTCAACAGCAACACCTTTTTCCAGATAGTGTCCCTGTTACTCTGATGAATTCATAGAACAAGCTATAAACACATTCCATTGGGACAAATTCTCCAATAGGAAGTAGTTCCAATGCAAAATGTTAACAGGGATGTCTGTGGATTATCTGCAATAACAGGATGTTGTTTCTAGAATGCAAAAAGTCTGGGCAAATAAAACCAAAATTATCTGCATGACTAGATACCACTTAGTATAAGATGGGAAAATGTGGGTGAACCCACCCTTTAAATATTCCATTATTGACAATATAACAATTCAAGGGAGTACAAGGGAGATAAAACATTTAAGATTAGAATGAATAACATCCTGCTTGTATTCATTCTAATCTACTATGATGCATTTTATGCTAATAGGGTTGCTTTTATTCAATCAAAAGACAATGAATATATTCAAATAAATAGTTATGCAAGAAAAACAGATAATGCTTGTAACCTGCTTATGTGTTGGATCATTTTCAAATCAAGCTACTGGAATATAGCAGGTGGGCCACCAACAAGTGTCAGCTGCACTTAGGCTATAACTGAAAGCCTGCAGTATCTACAGCAAGAGTGAAATCATTTTAGTACGGACTAACGGTATCCCTTTCTTACTTTTTGTGACATTAAACCAAGAGTTAATTATTCACTGTGGTCTCTGTCAAAGGGGCCTTAACAGAGATTTAATTATGAGCCCGTTTCATAAGTCAAACTGGCTGGACACATTGTCACGCGCTGGCTGTCATACAAAACCCCGTCATTTTTTAGATTTGGTTGCTGATGAAATAACCGGACTTACCTTCTTCTTGGTGTTACAGTGGCAGCACACAGTCCACAGGTATTTGAGAGTTCTCCACAGGAGGATTATGAAGAGACCCCCAAAGAAAGTGACCATGGAAGAGGCGAGGAAAGCCCACCACATCCGCTGGCCGTTGCTGTCACAGGGCACATCTGATGAAAACGGGATGATCACATTCATCTTGGATATGTGGATGGACGGGTCCGGGTTGAATTTATCCCTGTTCTTCGGCATTATCGGCTTCTGGTCACCTGCCAAACCCCCCAAAACAATCAACTCAACAGGGATTCAGGCGCTTTGGGGAGCTCCGGCCAGCGCCCCCTGATGCCCCAGCGGCACAGCCATATTAAGTCAACCACCTTCCGCTGCTCTCAGCCTTCTCATCTGGCTTTACCAAGGCAAGGACGTAAAAGTTTAGTCGACAGCAGACGCAAGCACAATAATAAAAACTTCTTTTGAAATGAAGGCGTCAGTCGTGCGCCTCACGGTGCGCGTTCATGGCTGGAATTGCGCGTCATCCTTTTATCTGTGCGTAAAAATCTCATTTTCTTGCAAACTCCGCAACAAGTCACGATTTCCTCGACAGTCCTGGCGGATTAAACTATATAAGTATTATTTCTGTTGTGTTGAAGAGGCGTGTTGTCCTCACCAGTCGATGGATTCACTCGCTGCTCCACCTTGTTTAAACAGCGTAGCTTCCAGCAGGTCCGCTACTTCGGCTCCGCAGCGCGCACTGTTGAATGCGCGCCTCACGTTTAAGGTCGCAGTTTATCGCTGTATTTTTATAATGAGAGGTCGTTTAAAAAGAAAGAAGACAATTTCTCGAGTACGGGAGCGGCTATAGCTTTTCTCGCTCTCTGGCGGTAGCCTGTCACGTCCATTTGTTGGGAGATGGCACAGCAGATTTACAGGTAGAGAGGGGGAGGAGCCATCAATAGCAGACGTCGATGGTGATCTGGAGGTCTGGTTATTTATAGTGACCGCTTCATCAATTTTTGACGATTGTAACTTTGTGGTTACAGTCATCTTACTTTTAAACTATCAGTTATGTGGCGACATTTCAAACATAGGCTACTTTTTTAATATAAGGAATGAAATGTTCTGAAATTAAAATAACGACTTAACTACTTTTTACTAACTAACTCTGTACTCATCTGTTTTTAAACATATAGAACTCCCATACTGTAGCCTTTTTGTTTTAAATAACAGGGTTCACGTATAGTCGACACTGATTCAGACATTATGTAGACATTATCTACAGAGATAGAATTTCTTTAGATGTCCTAGCAAAGTATAAACTTTCTATTTCTATTATAAAATTTCATGTTTACATAACGTGTGTATTTAGGTTTGATAAAAACAAACCCTCCTGATTGCATAAACCTAAAACTGCATAACAGCAGCATCTCCAACATATTTCAGCACTTATAAAGAGAATCATGCGTGTTCAAGCGTTTGCAATATAAACAATGTGAAACTATATCGACTGAAAAGTTGTTCAATAAGTCAAGGAATACGAGTATTCTTTCTAGAACAGGCAGCTATATTATAATGTAGTGTGAAAAGTGATTTTTAAAAAAATCATCTCAACCTTTCTCACCTGCAATAGTGGTGTGCTCCCCCTAGTGGATAAAAGGTGCATTGATCTTTGAGGTCGAACTTGTCCAGTATTTTCGCTTACCAAATATAAGGATGCTTTGTGAATCATCTTAGAAGAAACTGAACACTTTGTTCAGTGTATATTTCAAGGAAAATACAGACAAATTGCATACAATTAACAGTACTGTTTTTAATATTAACCAGGGTAATATTAACCTTCATTAGCAGGACCTGACCTAAAAGTGTTTCATCCAACTTGTACATGAAATGTTAACGTGATCGGATGAAAATCCAAGGAGGTGCATGTGAATGTGTTTAGCTGACAGCCAACCATGAACTAGAAATGCAAATATCCCTTCTTTAAAAATCCACTTGACAAAGAGGAACAAGTATTGGCAATACCAGTAGAACACACAAACTGGGACAATCTGTGGCGCAACAAACATACCTGCAGTGTGATTTATGATGGAAGTTGTAGTGTTAATAAATCCAAGAATGGAGTGTAATTAGCACATATTTTTTAAGCTTGGCACAATAGTATTTTGAGGATTGAAATGATGTCAACAGAGAAAAAACGGAACAAAACGGAACAATAATGTGAAGATAGGAAGCAAACTTGCCCCAAAGCCTCTATAAATAATGACATTAATTGGAAAACATTATCCTTCCTACTAACTACATTTATATAACAAAATGTTCATAACCAACATCTTTGATTTGATTAGATAAATTAAATGGCAGGAAAATATGTATAAATATAGAGTAGGGAACACAGTTATCCACTCTCCATCTTCACTTCAAGAATAAAGTCTTCAGTTTGCATCGATGCAGACTTCCTGTGGTACCACATGTTCATGGGACAAAGACATTAAAGGAGTGCTACTAGATGTGAAGGAAAATAAAACATTCAAGTATTAAATGCTAGTGTAAACAAATCTATCTGTAGTACAGTAAATCACCATTGTAGTGGGAATAGTACATGATCGTCATCATCACTGCTGATATTGCTATTTGTGAGAAAGCATTGGAGTTAACCATGATGTCTGTTAATGTACCGATTCTTTGTGTCCCATAATAAAAATCACATCATCTCGAGTGTTTTCAGAGTGGGGTGTGGTGTGAGGTGACATTTCTACGGTGCTCCATCTGGAATCCATAATACTTTACTCTGTTCCTGCTCCACGATGGTCATGATCTGAGTGCAAATGTAGGAGACGCTGCCTCCTTGGACTACGCCTGCAACACAGTGGGGGTGGGGAATTAAAAAAAAAAAAAAATCAAATCAGGTAATTTTCTAACATTCCAAAAGGTTGAAAAAAAAAAATGGTACAACTAATGATTATTTTCTTGATTAAAAGTACTTCACCAATTTAGCATTGCACTCCTACAGCACTGTCAGATTCATGATGGGAGGTTAAAAAAAGATCAAAAATCTATTTATTCCATGCATTCTTCTTCCTTGTCAAAACCTGATGCCTACATTTCCCACAGTGCAACTCAACCACCACCAACAGTTTCGGGCAGAGATTTGGGCGTGTTATGCTAGCATTTTTTTCCATTTTCAAAATTGTAGTCTTTAGCCACAAGTGATGTATAAAATCATCAGAGTTCCACTTTACAAAAAAAGCAGCAAATCCTAACTAAGAAGCTGAAACTCAAATATTTGGTATTTTTGCTTAAAAATTGGAAATGAAAAATACTGATTATCAGAAAAGTAGCAAATACATATTCTGTTGATCAACTTAACTGACTTATTGGTTCAGCTCTAGAAAAACAAAAACACATATCACAAGTTCCCAGAACCCAATGAGACATCTTCATTATGCTTGCAAATTATATACATTCAGGACTTTGGAGATTTAAAGTACAACAGGGATGTGATCAGCTCCACTTCATGCCATCTACTAGCAGATACTCAGACTTATTAAACTGCTCAGAATTACAGTTCTTATTGTGTGCAGAATTTGGCCACCTCTCCCTGTTAGAAGGGATCAGCGGTGTAATGTGTCTATTTCAAAAGTCCCTCCCCATAAATCGCCTCCTTTTATAGAGGCATTAATCAGCTGGACAGTTGTGTGTCTCAGACTGGCTGCTGCTCCAGATACCAAAACTTTTTAAAACTTATCTGTGAAAAAACACAGAGATACTGTGCTCCAGAAACCTCAGATACCCTCTAGTGCTGGTGCTTGGTTAAACTAGACCACATTATAATATTACATTTTGCTACCATGACTTATTATAACTGGGTTTGCTAGATGGGTCTCTCATTTCATTTGTGTATTCTGTTCATTTTTATCCGAAGGGACCCTTACTATGTAACAGGTTCTGCCTTAAAATGGGCCAGTTCACCTAAATACCACTTAACCCTGACTCTATTAGTGCAGTCAACTGCTGAGGTTTCTGCTTCCACCCCAATACTATATATTTATTATTCTGTTGTGCTTAACGAATTCTTAAAAATTACATTTGAAAAACTCAACTAGAATCTTGAATTTATGCCAGGTGATGTCTACATCAGCCCAAAAAAAAACTGTGGGGATGTGAAGCATCTGGAAGAAAATAAGCATCAGGGACAACGATTTGCTGTTTTATTCTCTGTACTTTGTCACAGTCAAAGACTATCAATGCTGTGTGCAGAGGTGTTGGCATGTCAGAGTGTCTTTCGTGTCATTCCAGTCATGAAAGATTGCACTGCTCAATGTGTAGTCTGACAGGTCCCTCTAATCTGATGTAGCGCTCATCCCCAAAGATATACAATAAATGTTGTCAAGTTGTAGACTAATCCAGGGACCTTACTGTGGGCTGTCCTCAGTGACTTCTGTTGATTATTTTAAGTAGGACATTTTTTTCAACGCTTGGACAAGCACAAACTACATTCACCTCCATTGCAGTGAGGTAGAGCAAGAAGCCTCAGCAGTAGATATAAAAATTCTGTAGATTAAACTAAAACAACCTGCATGGATAAACCTTTATTTACATACTGATGTCCAGCCCTCCGATGACTCTCAAATGATTCATCATATACACATTTAGTTCTCCAGTCAGTACATTAACAGGACACTGCAGATGTCTCTATCAGCTGAAAACAATACATTCTTACAGTAATATCCATCTCCATCCAGCTATCTTTAGCACCTCAGAGAGAAAACAAGTAATTTCCACCAACCTGTGAAGAAGCGGCTGTATTCCTGCTCTACTTTCTGTGCCGCCTCATACTGCTCCTTGGAATGTTTCTGTGAGAGTCTATCCCGCAGGTACAAAGGATCTTTCTGCTCTCTGAAAAGACAACATCAACGCCTGTCAGCATCCTTGAAAATCTCACTTCACACAGAGATTCATAAAAAGGCACAATACCACTATGTGGAAGGAGTCAGGTGTCTATACCAATAAATCATTTTTTTAAAATAACTTCTTCAGATGAGATTTTAAGATTACACCGAATGTCCACACATTATTGAAATAATTCTTAACATTGTGCTTGTAAGCAAGATCTGATTTGTCTAAACGTGTGATTTATTTTGACCTGACTGGATGATAGCATTTGCACTATAACAAAAGTGTATATGAATCTCAATAACCACATCTTAAGAATGTAAATAAATACATTTTCTGGAAATTCTATTGAGTGTAACAATATGGGAATGTTAGTTTTTGGCTTATCCGGTGTATTAAATACTTGAACTTCATCATATTTAAGCAGAAACCCTGTAAATCCATAAACAATATCATACTCATCAAGTTAGAACATTGCCCACAATGGACTAAAAAACCCAGGTGCGGAATTAAAGAGGGATTTTTGAATACATACGGTATGATAGAATTGAGATATTGTATTGGTTTGTCTGTTAGCCTTGACAGACACAGAGCATTTATAAGCTCTCTCTACTACAAATCCTTTCAGCCCACTGTTTCTCTCCATATCTGCAGTCTAACAAAGTCATGTGACTACTCGGCCTTTAGTCTCTGACCTAACCTAGAATCACACTCCCATCTTTCCCTAGTACTCCGTATGCAGTTAACATATACATACACACGTCTGCTGATACCTCCCAGAGCATTAAAAACCCATGGAGGAGCTTGAGCTGCAGCTGGCAGGCAGGCAGTGGGAGGTGTGTTTGTGTGTATGTGGTGGCTGCGGCGGGTGGGGAGGGGTCAGCAAGTGTTTTAGCCACCCACGCCACAAAGCGGAGCCACAGGCCCTGCAAGCTCTCCCTAGACAGCTGGCACTCAGCTGATGACAGCAGAGGCTTAGCAGGAATCAATCTCCACCATGTTTGCCTGCTGCACCACTTCACAGATTT